TTATTTAGGGCTCTCCGGAATGTCTATTGTCAATGTCGGTATGGAGGAGTATTTTAAAGCTTCACGGAAATGCTCATAGGAGTTGCTATTGATGAAGCGCATTGTATAGTTCATTGGTGAGTTTTCTACATGTTTCACTATTTATTTTAGGAAAAATAATAATAAATTGGTTGCTTGAAGTCTTGAACATGCCAAAAAAATTATGAGTATTATTATTAAAGCAAATGTGCAGTTTGTGCAATAATATTGCCGAAGGAATAAAAATAAAGAAATAAATTTAACAACCTGCACATATATGTATATTTTATATTTAATGATGTATTTCCATATATTTTTACTTTTAAATTATTCATGATTTACTAACTATTATAATACATTCATTACTTTACATGACATATATTTTTTCAAGATTAATAATAGTACAATACGTAACGTATACGTCATAATGTAACACAGGTTATTGTAGCACGGCATATAAAAAATATGAATAATTTTATGAATATGTGTCGCTAAACTAGTATTATGTACTGTTTAAAATAGGGGCTTGCCTGGAAGTAAGGACAGCGATGTTCCATTCAGGAAATGGTATGGCTGTTTGTGGGAATTGCGTTCCTTATTCCCACAGCACTGCAAACTTGTAATTCTCACTGCAACTGCGACAAAAGATACGAAAGAACAAATACTAAGCACGCTACACCTGTCTACAAATGATGTACATTTCATCGAGCAGAGCCCAGATCGAAAAAATATACAATACAGCGTTCAGTATTTAGAAAAGGACGATCATTTGGAAAATGCCTTTTCATCACCAATTCAAGATGTTAAAGAACATGGTGCAAATAGTCAGCGAACATTGATTTACTGTCAGACTCGAAAACAGTGTTCAATTATTTACAGCATTTTTGAAGTGTATTTGGGTAAGCAACTATTTCTTGGTGACTGTTTACCACAAAATAGGCTGGTTGAGATGTTTGATGTAGGAACACCTCCCCTTGCCAAGGAACACATCACCAAAAATTTAGCAGACAAAAATGGTCATTTACGCATACTTGTATCCACAATTGCATTTGGTATGGGAGTGAATTGTAAGAAGGTACGAAGGGTGGTACATTTTGGCCCGTCCAAGAACATCGAAAGTTATGTGCAAGAGTGTGGGCGTGCTGGTAGAGATGGACAACCTAGTTCCTGTTGCCTTGTTTACAATTGTTTATTGTTAGGGCACTGTGACAAGGAGATGAAAGTGCATGTGCAGGCTAAAGAGTGTCGTCGAAAGATACTGATGGATAATTTTGGCTATCAATGTGAAAAACAAAGTGAGCTATCTCACAAATGCTGCAATATTTGTGCTGAAAACTGCTCGTGCCAAGAAAAATGCACTGTATGGAATCTATGTGAAGAGAATGAAGTTGATCTTACCATGTCAAATGATGTTACAAAAACATGTATTCAAAAGCCAGTTTCACCAGGACAAAAAAAAATTGTTGCACACTGAACTAGTCAAATTCCGGAACACAGATATAAGCAAAGCACATACACATGAACAAGTTCCTTGTCCCAATAATCTACTTGAATTCAACAATTTTCACATAAATCAAGTAATTAACAAATGCTACAAGCTATTTACAGTCAATGACATTTTGCAAGAGATTGAAATTTGGAGACATGCTCATGCTATTGAAATACTGAGTATAATAAACAGAGTTTTTGGAGACGTTGATGCCAATGAACTAATGGGACTTGATGAGGAACAATTCCTCAATGACACTAGTTTCAGTTCAAACTGGGATGATGTGATATATAATAAACAGAGTTTTTGGAGATGTTGATGCCAATGAACTAATGGGACTTGATGAGGAACAATTCCTCAATGACACTAGTTTCAGTTTAAACTGGGATGATGTGAGAGATGATTCATACATATCCTTCATGGGAACTCAGGAACTTGAATGTTTTTCCTCTTTCAACACTAGCAAAGGTGATGAATCCATGGATTTAAATAGCAGTATTTAGCCAATTAACCCATCTCTCGAACATAACAAACAGTAGCTACTAATTAACTAAATTCAAGTGACCTATACAATTCAATTTGCCTTTGTCACAAAGGCCAAAATCCGCCATTTTGGGTATACTGTATGCTCTTGTAAAAGATTCTAGACAATTGAAACAACATGAAAAGACTTTTAAAAGTTGTAACTGTAAATTTACCATTATACAAACAACTACAACACTAAAAAGTTGTATTTTGTGGATATTCTCAAACACGGGAGAGGCAGTACCCCCAAATGGCGTGAAAATTGGCCATAGAAAGGCTAATTGTGCTTATCAGAAATCACTGTCAATATGTGAAAATGAAACATTTTCTCGTAATACATTACGAACAAGTTTAAAAAAACTTTTGTACTAAGATAAAATGTTTCATGAAATGTGCAATGGAAGTAGCCAGGTGTTATTTGAGGTACATAGGTACATATTTTGTTTTCTGACAAACATAATTTCTTCAAACAATTAGTTTGACTATTTTTCATATGGGGTATTTTTAAAATCGTAGGGAATTATCCTTTCTCACAAAGGCCAAAATCCTCCATTTTGGGAGTACTGCTTGTCCTTGTGAAAGATTCTATGCAATTCAAACAACATGAAAAGCGACTTTTAAAAGTTGTAACTGTAAATTTACCATTATACAAATGTATCGGAGACTCCCAAACATGGTAGAGGCAATACCCAAAAATGGCAGAAATATCGACTAATTTAACGAGCATGCCTATTAAGAATCATATGCTTTTTATGTTCATTGATCCACGTACACAATTTATGCAAATCAAAACCATTTAGAATGCTTGGTTTAATATTTTTATAAAAAGTATACTCCCTGCCAGGTGTGTGATAAAATGCCTTCTGTGTAAGTAGCTCATTTACTACTTTTTCCAGGTCTCCCTTGGTTGACTTCTTTATATGCTTCCCAGATTTTTTATAAATGCTCAAGTTTGTATCAAAAACCGCCATTAGATCAGCAGTTACTCCCAACGAATGGCAAATACGATCAAGTGACTTCTTGCTTGCACTGGGACCAAGATGTTTTATGGCTTCCTTGACCAGTTTGTTCTTGAACTCTAAATTTAAATCCAAAGATATATTGCCAAATTGTCCATGTTTGTTCTTAACGAATCTGTTCCAAATCAGGTGATGAGATTCTTTAGGACTAAGCAATGCATATAATTGGAACATTAAATACAATGCTTCAAGAGAATACTTGTTGGCTGATGTTCCTTGATGCTTCAAACACATAAGGAAAAATTTCCAACACCTTATCACACGTTCCCCATCGCCCTCTGATATTCCATCCCATAAATTGAGCAATAACATTCCATAATCAAGCAATGCTCTTTGATAAGCAAACATGTCATCTCGCTCGTCTTCATCAATTGTGGTATCGCAGATCACATTGGCAATTTCATATTCATTCACTTCGGGTTGAGGATGTTGCATTTCGTGTTGCCTTCTGTGCTTTCTGTCAAATGCAAATGTTTTCTGGCAGCCCTTGTATCTGCATGGATACCTCCCTTCGCCATTCACTGAACGTTTTGCATCTGTGCATTGCTGGATCAACTGCACATATGTCAAAATCTTATCATTTCTTTCCTGGTCGATAACAAATCTTTCCACAACAGCAGTAGCTGTTTTTCTGAGAAATTCCATTTTCTCTTCTTTGGACGTTTCATCTTTGTAAGAGAAGATCTCTTTATCTTCATCTAAACTGTCCATTTCCAGAACAGCTAAAGCACCAGCAATGACTCTTGACTCCACTTCAATTTTAAAAAATCTCCGGCAAGCATTCTCTGCAGCACTGACATCACTCTTTACATTCCTTCTATTGATTAAATTGCAGTCGCTGTACATAGTACATTTGTCACCAGAAGAAGATATGTTATATAAGTTATTAAATGCAACCTGAAACAATAATTAAAAATAATTTAATTTTTATATACTGTAATATGAGTGGGTTTAGTTCTTATATAGTAGACAAGGACATAAAATTCAGCAAGTCTAGATCAGAGGTTGCAATTAAATAGAATCAGTACAGTATTCGTTCATTATATGTGGCAAAACGTTGTGGCAGGGAAAGCTTTTAACAGTCAAGCGTTTGTGCTTTTCGCATCCAGTGTTTCACCCAAAATGAAAAAATAATAATCTCCATGAGATACTTCGCGTATAATATTATGTATATGGTATCTGGGGGACACATTGTGCGAGGTGGGTACAATATTTCGATATTCAACAAACCTCCAAAAACTTGTTGCCGGCATGCCAGTCAGCTGCTTCAAAATGCAATCCTTCTAGACGCTCTTAACTAGTAAATCCATTGGCTAAGGATTTATCATTTATATTTACCATTTTACCATTTATAGCTCTTTCCACACTTAATTGATCACCAACCACACCTTGATTACCATAAACATTATCTTCTTGATCAGCATTGCAAGGAACAAACTTGTGAAATTGCTGGAGAATCTTGATGATCCTGTTAGCATCATTTTCGTTCTCGTATATGCCTAAAAACACCTGCAAAAAGACAGAAGTAGGACAAAATTAACGCTATATTGTAACAATTACAATGAATGCTCTCATATGTATTTTATTGATTTGCTTATTGTACACTTATTTTATTTGATATTACTTCTCTTGGACTAACACATTAGACAATGAAAAAGCAACGGAATTGCCACTTAGTTGATAAGTTAAGCAGGGTATTTTTATATGCATGTGATTATTCTTTCACGCCAGTCACAAAATATAGTAGTACTGTATAAATGCTGTGCTGAGTGGTTATATTACTACCTTAAAAAATAAGCAGAAACTCGACGTTTCGAGCGAAGGCCCTTCGTCAAGAGTTAGTAGCACTAACTCTTGACGAAGGGCCTTCGCTCGAAACGTTGAGTTTCTGCTTATTTTTTAAGGTAGTAATATAACCACTCAGCACAGCATTTTCACATTGGTACTAACAACACTGGTGCAGACAGTTTAAGTAGTACTGTATAACTGTTACTTAATAGTGATAATCTAAACCTGATATCAATCCTGATCCTGATACTACCCTAACCCATATGCCTAACCTACCTCAAAGCCTACCCCTAATGGTATTAAAGTAACTTATAGAATCTGATCTCTTCTTCATTTCTGCATTGTACTGGTGAGAAATGTGCATAGGACACAAATCTGCAAGGGAATTTAAGCAAGGAATGTTGGTTGTAATTATCCGTTCAACAAGGTGAATATAATTTGTCCTTTGCTTTACATTATCAGCTGAACTAGGAATGCATTTTCCATTCTCCATTTTCATAACTTCACCTGTTGGAAGTTCATCACTTAAATGGTTCCCTGATACACAGTTCTCTACACTCATGTATGTTACATAATGATGGTCAACATTCTGGTGTTGTTCGGTCATGTAGTGAACTTTCTGGTTGTAATCGATATTGTCAAACACAATTTTTCTGCCAGAATCAGGTATAACAACAACTTGAGCTAATGGATCTGCCTCCTCAGGATTTTCTTCAGTTGGGTTCTTATGGTGATTTTGTGCCAATAGTTGACCCTGTGCAGCAACTCTGTCCAGAACTTCCTTATCATGATCAGCTCCATATTCATCGAGGTTCTTGTATAGAAAGGTATGGCTGGTTACTAGCCTCAACAGATACAATCGTGCCAACATAGCCTATATAATTAAAGTAAGAGAAATACTGTAATATACAAGTAATATATATGCTGCAAATTCACCCATGCTGTTCCAGCACACTTTCAAATTAACCTTAATAATAATTTTTTGGGAGTGCATCACATAATTCTTTAGTGGGAGTGGGTAGGAATGTCAAAAATTGACCAATATTTCTGAACAGCCACAAACATTAATGAAACAATGGGTGTGTAGATTATGCAAAACTAGTAAATGTATGCTTTGCCTATTAGAAACTAGAAAATTATTAAACTATTAATACCAATAAAGAAGGATGCAATTAGGTCAGAACGGACTTGACCCGCTCTTTAATAGTTTTATATGTTATACGAGTCCTGAGTAGATATTGTGGTTTATAACCATTAATTATCAAGGGTGAGTGGTGTGGTGGCTTCAAAATCTCAAGGGGGGGGGGGGTCGGGGCGCAGTGTTAAATTTGACGTCCCACAGTTATTTTGACACTGGTGCCTCCCCCCTGGGGGAGAATGTAATATGGTCAACAAGAATGTAATATGGTCATGTCACATGTCATGTAGGAATTTTAATTGAGAAACTTAAATTTTAGAATTAAATACTAATCCTTCTTGGCAATTTTGGCACTCCAACTGGATTTCAGCACCCCCTTGAAAAAATGGGCCATGCACCCGCCACCCCCTTCGCCATGACGGCACTGCCAAGGGTTCAAATTGATAAGCAAAACCATCCTATTTAGACGAAGAAAATTGGTGGGATATAACAGGGGCGGATCTAGGGGTAGTCAGATTAGTCACACAACTAACGTAAAAAAAAGGCAGGCATATAAAAAAAATTTGGACTAAGGTTTTCGAATTTTTTCCCAGCACAAACGCTTCTCTTCATTTCTGATCATGCAATCAAAACTACATCACACTCCAGCATATAAACTTCGATCAGTTTTTGCACATTGAGCCAGCAATTGATTAGTCAAACGATAAGTTAAATAAGCAGTATTGAAATGAAAATCGACTATTCTGCATTTAATTCATGTGATTTGATTGGTCAAATTTGCTCAGATTACACATTACAGGCATGTTGATTGGTCAGACCTATTTTGACTAACGATTGCACAATTTTGACTATTTTGACTAATCCTGTAAATAGATAGCAGCTTCTGATTGGACAATTTGCACAAAAGAGTTAAATCTCCTCTGATTGGCCTTCTAATCTTCACTTTGGAAGCATTGTGCACTTGGTAGCTCTGTTGCGGCTCTGTACAATTTTACAAGCAAATTATTTCGCTTAATCTTAGTATATTTGTTGAACTATTTTCGAAATAAAGATTTCGAAAGGGTTATATCATTATTTGTTACGATAAGGGATGCTTTCTGGTGTTCTGTGGAGAATATTTCAAGCTGATAAATTCGATGGATGCAAGAAAATTGTCTTGGCCGAAACTATGATGTGTTGATTTCTCGTCGTCTATATTTTCAAGAGATTAATAAGAGGTGTAATGGTTTACATCTCACCTTTCTCAGCGAACACAAAAAGTTACAGTTGGCGGTGTGTCTTCCAAGAAATTCAATGTTGATTGTGGTGTTCCTCAGGGATCATGTCTAGGTCCGCTTCTGTTCGTTCTTTATGTAAGCGAACTACTCGAGTTAATAGAGCGTCACCTACCAGATGCACATGCTTATGCCGATGACACCCAGCTTTATATCTCGTTTCGCGCAGATTCTCGTATCGACCAAGAAACTGCAGTCCAAACTGTTGAGATGTGCATTGATGACATCAAACGATGGATGCTTGTTAATAGACTGGAACTCAACGAGGGAAAAACTGAAGTAATTCTAATCGGCGCTTGACAACAACTCGAAATAATCGACTTCATCAATATTCGTGTTGGCAGCAATGTTGTTACTTGTGTTGAGAACGCCAAAAACCTCGGCTGCTGGTTTGACTCGCAGATGATACACCCATGTTACTAAATGCTGCAAAGCTGCCTTCTTTCACCTTTATAACATTAGACGTATTAGGAAGTTCCTCGATCAACATACAACTCAGATTCTTGTGCAGGCTTTCGTTATAAGCCGCCTGGACTACTGTAACAGTCTTTTTTTATGGCCTTCCTTCAACCCAATTGAGGAAATTACAAGCTGTTCAAAACGCGGCAGCCCGGCTTATCTGCAATATTCCTCGGTTCGATCATATCACTCCTGTCTTATATGATCTTCATTGGCTCCCGATTAAGTCCCGCATCGACTTTAAAATCCTCCTTATTACATACAAGGCCCAAAACAATCAAGCTCCAATGTACATTAAAGAGCTTCTCTCAATTAAAAAACCCACAAGTTACAACCTTAGATCCCACTCTGATCCGTGTCTACTAGAATGCCCCAGACTTAAGACTCTTAAGACCTTGGGTGATCGATCATTTTCTCTCGCTGCCCCAACTTTATGGAACGCTCTTCCCAAAGCTATCAGGATTGCATCCTCAACAGCTACATTTAAAAAGTTACTAAAGACATTTCTATTCTTAGAAGCTTTTAATTAATGCTTGTTCCATTTTTACTTCTAGTTATCGCTGTGATACTTTTATAAATTCTTAACATTATTGTAATATATTTTTATCTAATATTTATAATTTGTATATTATTTACTACTGTAAGAAGCGCACTTGAACATATCCACATGAAAAATGCGCTATACAAATGTAATTTCATTATCATTATAATGGTGTATGGCAATAATTACGGGAACCACTGAGTATTTTAATAAAATATAAAACAACGGTAACTCCGAAAATAAACATTTTAATAATATTCTAGCTTTCGACTAAGATTCAGTCATCATCAGGAATGATCAGGATCATTCCTGATGATGACTGAATCTTAGTCGAAAGCTAGAATATTATTAAAATGCTTATTTTCGGAGTTACCATTGTTTTATATTGTATGGCAATAAGGTAAAGTGGTTTGAATTTTGAACAATAAATTGTTGAATTGAACGTACGATTTGCATAATTGTGCGAGATTATAGGTCCAAAGTTTCATATACTGCATACATATTAATTTATATGTGTATAAAATTAAAACACCTCAAGTGGCAGAAACTTGATCTCAAATATTTGATCATGTTGGATAAAAAATATTTATTGTGTACATGCTTAATTATAGAGTATTGATTGACTGATAATAGCTCTACAAATGTACTTTATAAAGATAATAATATAATCTTTGGTTATATTTTTAGATCTAATGCAACTGGCAATTGCCTGTATGGCTCTGTTTCCTAAGCATTGACAGGTACCAATGACCTATAAATTTGACCTTGATAGTTTAAATGTTTACAGTGCAAGTGTGAAAGGTCTATACAGTAGGTCACTTTTTATACAGTATAAGCGAAGAAGCACTATGGTTGAAGACAAATTAAATGACCTGGCTTGGTCATGATGCAAATTCACCAGGATATTATTCCTAACATACTGTAGGAAACTTTATTAAAAAATTTTCTGGAACATGAGGTTAAAGTTAAATATATCGGCTTGCAAAAAGACCACTCTCGCCTCCAATAACAATAACCTCACTCTTGTACACAACACTGACATGAGAAAAAACATCCTGGGGCATGAGAAGGCAAACTTCCTTGATCATCAACCAAACTTAGCTTTTCAAGATCACCACCTTAATTCCCATAATCTCCCCCCTACCCAAACATTCGGGCTTTGTAGACAAAAGCTGATGCCAAATATCGGTCTGATCTCATTGGCTTGAGACGGGTCCATTGCATCTTGAACCAGTTAAATTTTTCAACAGACCAGGGCTTGAAATAACAACTGATTACCAATCAATAATCAGCAAGAAATTGCTTATGATCAGCGGAAAAACAGGGTTTGAATACATAAATCCATGCAATTCAAAAGATAGCGCGAACATGGTATTGTTCCCTGATTCGCAGACTGACTTTTCCCCCTTCCCCATCAAAAAGTCAGGCTGCACACGCAGGCTAATTATTCTGATGCTGCAATCGAGCAACGAAAAATTTGTTGGCTGGAGTGGGATTTGAACTCGTATCTTCGGATATCTAGACCGCTGCTCTACCCGTTGAGCTATCGAGTCAACAGTGATTGTTAGCAAGTCTTATCCAATTTAAGTGCATGAAATATTTTCATGACGACTTAACGCTTGTCTTACAGGACGCGCAGTGTTTCAATTCTATTGCAGAATCATCCTCAGAGATAAGAAAAACCAGTTTCATATTATTCTAAAGAAACTGGTTTTTCGTATCTCTGAGGTTCCAGTTCCGGTGGTGGCCTGACAAAAATCTGATGTCTGGTTGCAATACGTCAACATTAAAACGGGTGTGGGGAGAGAGGGTGGTAAAATGTGTCAAGAAATGGTATAATATACAACCAGAATGCATGCGAGAACTAGATTCTCCCAATGTAGGCAACATTGTCAAAGAATGTAACCCCAATCCTGATCCTAATATTAAAGTGCACCAAACCTTGATTAAGAACTTCTGTAATGATATAATAACTTATTTTAAAGATTTTCATTTGCACACTTTGTCTTGGAGTTATTTCAGTTTTATTGATATGCATATGTCCGGAATTTACATCACATATGAATAATGACTGATCAAAGAATGTAAGGTATAGTTAAATATCATGAAATAAAAAGGCTAAATTGTGTTTTGTATAGGTATGTAATCCTGCCACAACACCAAACTTCATTTTAATGAATTAAACTCGATAGTGGATACGATAGACAAGCTTTTACTTTAAGTCATTATGCATTTGTGACGTAAATTCAGGATATTTGCATACCAACAGAAATATCTCAGAAACAAAGTGAGCAAATGAAAATCTTCAAAATAAGTTATATCATTTCAGAAGTTGTTACGAATGAAATGATAAAAAGAATTGAAGTTAGGTGCACTTTAACCCTAAACTAAAGCAAACTTTGAGTTTAAATTTTGACCTATCTTGACAACCTGCCTCTCGTCCATCAGTTTTAGCCATTACCCTCTCTTCTATGTTCTCGTAGCCTATCATATTTCAGTTTTTACCAAAACACGTTTGCATACCTGCATATTCGTTTGTTCTCATGCTATGGTGCGGGTTAACTAAGAGATGTAGGATGCAACGTTGTTACGATGTAGGACGCAACATGACGACGACGGCTATAATTAAAATACAATAAAATTCGTAACATTGTGGAAAATAAATTAATAATAAAAATTCCGCGCTCTATATACAACAGCAAACCATAGATTTTACGTCTTGTATACAACAGCTGCATTTCGGATCAAGCCACAAGAAACGGTACTCAGTTAGTCTCCAACATTCGTAGTCACAAAATGTCATGGGAAGCATAATTTTCGTCGTCACTGGAAGGAATATGTTCTTCATTATCAGGATTTTTATACTCATAGTCACCCGATGGATCATAGATCCATCATGTCGTCGTTGAAAGAATAATTTTCGTCGTCATTGTCAGTGGAAGAATGTTCATCATCGTCAGAATCATTATCTTTGTGGTCACCTGATGGATCATCTTCGTCAATATCGAAACCATCATTTTCATCATCTGCGGAAGAATGTTCGTCATCGTCGGGATCATTATCTTTGTGGTCACCCAATAAATCAATGGAAGAACGTGATCAGCCAATGTTTCTTCACAGAGGTCAACAATAAGATACATGAAGATGTTGTCTCTGACGAAATGACGGTGGCTAACTATAAATGGTGACCTTTGTGTGTTAATGAGAGTCAGAATCGCTTTCTCATTTTCAGCTGCAACTTTACATGTCTGTATTAACATTCTCTTTACAGCCACTTCACTGCCATCGTCCATGATAGCAACATGTACGCACGTCCCCATAGAACCAGTCCCGAGTAAAAAAGATTCATTCATGGCGACAGATTTTACTGGTTGTCCAACCTTAAACAAGAAAACATTCGTTTCAAATTTTCCAAAGCGCTTATCTCGGGTAAGAACCATTGAAGTGTTTTACGTATTAAAATGGTTTCATGCGAATTACTACATTTCTGTATAATTTTCATACAGAAAAGTACACTTTCTATGATGTTGTATTCCTTTCCATTAATTGTGGTAATATACGAGGTAAGTAGATTGTCAATAACTTAACAGGTGAGGTCGTGTTGTTCTGCCGTTTGAGAGTGTAAACTTCCTATATTTCTTTTTCATTTCATTATATGTTGCAATTGGATGGATGGAGTACTCTAAAATTGTTTGACAGTTTTGACAAACTTAAGCAGTTCTGCGAGAATTGTTTGAAGATTGACTCAAAATGGCTGTCCCCTGGTGGCGGTTGTAAATCGCTTGATAATGAAAACGTTGTTATCAGATGGTATTCAACGAACAAGTCACATGTAATAAAGGGACCAAAGGGAGAACTGCTTCGAAATAAACAGATAAAGTGAATCTCATTTCGGACTGTGTAAAAGTGTCAATTATCTGTCCATTAAGCAAGATAAATAATGTCAAACTGTCAGAGTTGGATGAAAGCCATGCATGGTGGGCTGTTGTGTTCACATTATTCAAAGTCCAAGGCTGGTTCTTCTTTGACATGGAAAATGTGCATGCTTAGGGCATTTCTGTCAATCATTCTTCGGTACACTCTAAATTTCGAAGTGTTCAGTGAACACCAAATAGGTGTAAATTTACACAATTTTGGTGTAAATTGGTGAATTTACACGTCGTAAACTGTGTTACTCTAACACTCTTTTGGTGTAAAGCTGTATTTTAGTTTTTTAACACCAAATTGGTGTAAATTTGCACAATTTTGGTGTAAATTGGTGAATTTACACGTCAAGGTGTATTATTACACTTATATTGTGTTACTCTAACACTCTTTTGGTGTAAGGCTGTATTTTAGTTTTTTAACACCAAATTGGTGTAAATTTACACTAGAAGCCGGTAACTTAACAGTATTTAAGGTGGTCTTCCACCCAAATTTTCCAATATTTTTTATTTTTTAGAAAAACGTAAAAATGTAGTCTTTATAGCGCTCTTTATAAAATCTGTGTAATTTTAAGAACGAAAATGTACCGTAAACCAGAGAAATCTAGCAAATTCTACACCTTCGTATGGTACAACCACGATTTTACCCGGAGCGATAAAGATATGCGATTGATTTAGTCTATTGTTCCATTTTCAATTATATTGTTCTATCTAAGTTATTCTAATATATGCAAAAACTTTAAAATCGCTTTTCTCACATGAGCATTTTGCAAAATACTAAAAACTCTCCTACTGTTCATACTGAATCAATTCGTTCGAAATTTTCAGTGTTTATTTGCTAGTTGCATAGCCATGTCATGGACCTAAAAAACTTCATATATCAGCAATATACATTGCAAGAGTAGCCTTATAAGGGCACTTCTGTCAATCATTCTTCGGTGCACTCTAAATTTCGAAGTGTTCAGTGAACACCAAATAGGTGTAAATTTACACAATTTTGGTGTAAATTGGTGAATTTACACGTCAAGGTGTATTATTACACTTATATTGTGTTACTCTAACACTCTTTTGGTGTAAAGCTGTATTTTAGTTTTTTAACACCAAATTGGTGTAAATTTACACTAGAAGCCGGTAACTTAACAGTATTTAAGGTGGTCTTCCACCCAAATTTTCCAATATTTTTTATTTTTTAGAAAAACGTAAAAATGTAGTCTTTATAGCGTTCTTTATAAAATCTGTGTAATTTTAAGAACGAAAATGTACTGTAAACCAGAGAAATCTAGCAAATTCTACACCTTCGTAGGGTACAACCACAATTTTACCCGGAGCAATAAAGATATGCGATTGATTTAGTCTATTGTTCCATTTTCAATTATATTGTTCTATCTAAGTTATTCCTAATATATGCAAAAACTTTAAAATCGCTTTTCTCACATGAGCATTGTGCGAAATACTAAAAACTCTCCTACTGTTCATACTGAATCGATTCGTTCGAAATTTTCAGTGTTTATTTGCTAGTTACATAGCCATGTCATGGACCTAAAAAACTTCATATATCAGCAATATACATTGCAAGAGTAGCCTTATAAGAACTCCTTTCTTCATATATCTTTAAAAAAGTAAAATATGACGGCCTTATTATATTACTTGTATATTTTTTAGGTTCATGACATAGATCAATGTATTAAGTGTCCATTAAAGATGTTTCTAAAATCCTCGGTAAATTAGTTTGGCTCACATCATTTTTGGAGCAAACCCTATATTTTACCCTATAGTGAGGCCTATCTTAGTTACTATGGCAACGACAAATGTAAAAGTTACTGATCCTGTGTCAGCTGAGAATATTCTATCATATTTGACTCAAATATGGTAATAAAACCTTTAATTTGAAAAAAATGTTTTTAGGGTGGAAGACCCCCTTAAGTGTATTAAAACACTACTTTTGTGTAAAGATGATTATGACAATTTTATCTTCAAATGGAAATTTGGGCTGCACTAAACTTGTTGACATCGACATTAATGAAGGTAAACCAGCTTTTTATGAAACGTTATATATTTCAGAAATATCGACAAATGACCCATCATGTGTGGAAAATATCATGGCGTACATATTTACATTTATAATATATACATTTATATACATCCTAATTTTTGCAATCAGCTAAATCATATCGCATTCTAATGTACTTTCGCACAATTTCACCTGTTTTAACAGCATAGATGTCTAAAGGATGGTAGTCTAAAAGTTCGTCATAATTTATTGTAATGAAGTTATTTATTGATGCAACTTCGTATAAGTGCAAGTGCTTATAATATCTCAGTGTGTTCATTTGTTTACATGTAAAAAATACATCTGCATTTGCCATGATGAAAATATCTTCTACAATTAAGAATATTGGTAATATTGAATGCTGGTATACAACTGCTACACGCTTCTGGTACTTGACCCAACATTTCCATGTGTTCAAGATGGCGGAGCTACCAGATCCAGAGGTAAATATTATTAAAACAATCACGACCGTTTTCGCTCATGAATTATTAATATTGTGCAATACGAAAGTTATTCTCTGCTCTTGAATGTTTTATAGTTAAAGTATGAATATTCTACAAACGAGCAATGCAGCGATCGAAAAGGTCAGTAGTTGCTTATATGTTCTTATTAACACTTTTAGTATTAACAACAGTGCTTCTACAGTATTCAGCTGTTTGGAGATCTTTGGATTCTGCATTTGACATTTGTTATACCGAAAATCCTCATCAAATATCTACTGATGATTGATTAAACTGTTAGTAAAGTTGATATTACAATGTTATGCATCAGTCAAATCCAAGTCACTGCCTGAAAATATTTAATCTTGATTTTTAGCCCAGGATGAGATTTTAGCTTGGTTATTATAGCTCAAACCAACTTAAATTTTTGTCATATTAACTGAAATTTGTTGCAAGTCTGGGCCTAAATGTCATCCTGGGCTGAAACTTGACCCAGGGTAAAAAGTGTGACAATCTTTTAGAGAAGGAAATAGCAACATCATCAATAGGTGATAGTGACAAGAAAGTAAAAAAAAGAAAAAAAGAAGAAAGAAAGAGAAAAAAACAAAGAAAGAGAAGAGACAAAAGCAAGACAGCAGCGAAAGGAAGATGGCAGTAAAAAAAAAGTCAAAATGGAATGATGAGCTTGACTCGGACTCAAATCAGTCATTCGACACAGTTATCTGTAGTTCAGATGAAGCTGATAAGGTTGAAATTGACCTCCCATGGCCTTTAGAGCGCACTAAACGTCTTACACATGTATACCCTGATTATACAATCAAGGAAATGATGATGTATACAAAAATGTGTTACAGTGATAGCAAAAACAACATCTATAAGTGAGAAAATTTACAACAATTCACTATTCTTGAGACTGCCCTCTACTGCTTGGAATATATTCTTGAGATATTTTTGTTTTAAGGATTCCCCTATTCAGGCTAAAACAATCCAGACTGCCATCCTTTTCTAACCTGTTAGCATTATTAATGACCAGTCCCTAAGGGGCATTATATATCAAGACAGATTAAAATGAAGATATTCTACCATCTGGATACTTACATGAAGACCTTTGTCTCTGGTGTCAGAAAATCACATTTCTTATATAAACTGGCACGCTTTTCTGCTGTTACATATTTCAGTTCAATGTATAGAACAAATATGTAAAAACAATATGATAATTTATGCACAAAATTGACATGGTATACCAAACATGTAAAACATTTCTCACCAGGTCCAGTCTCTGTAACAGGTTTCAAATATGCGTCTTCTTTGCACAACCAATAGCACTGAAGACGTTGATGCCTTGTTGCCAAACTCTTTGCCAAGTTTTAAAAGTTGGTCATACCTTGGGCTAATCATTTGAAATAATTGGTGCTTCGCCTCAAATCTCATGCACCACTGTCGCACAAGTGGGCTATTCCTGTTGCGAAAACATAATATTGCATTAAAAAAACCTCCGTTTCAAAACCAAAATTATAAGAGCTTTACAGGATAAACATTATTGGGGCATCCAAATGTGGAAGTATGTTGGAAAAGCAGGAAAACTAGAAGAGTGATGTTGTTGGTTTTGCCCCCTTAAGTAGCATACTGTGCCTTCTTATTTGAGTGGGATAGTGAACCATGCCATGAAGTGTTGCTTGGGAATCAGTCTGGTGTTTGGATATAGATTCCTGAATTCCTCCAGATATTGCAACAGTAAATCTTTTCTCAGGCACATAAAAATCTTTAGAAATCTCACAGTCAAGTACAATTTATAAAACAATTTATTTGACCCATATCAATAATATCATAAAGCACAGACAATGCCAGAGATCCAGCAGGAGTTTCAAGTTACCACTTCAAAACATCATTTTACATAATATTTTTAGGGGCTGATTACATAGAGCTTTTTCAACCCCAGGGCTGAACCAGACTGGAAAGTTTGTACCGCATGCCAGAGATCTCCGGCGCGCAATTTCGACCCAATGTTGCTGCCCGCGCACGCGCAATTTTGGAGAAATTGTCCTGCGCGCACGCAATTTGGAGAAATTGTCCCGCGCGTGCAATGTAAATTGTCCCGCGTGCGCGCAATTTGGAGAAATTGTCCCGCGCGCACGCAATGTAAAGCAATTTTTGGTGCGCTTGTTTGCGCGCGTGGTCCTGGGCTCGTGGAGAAATATTTGCATGTGCGCACGTAATGTTTGAAAAAATTAGCAGGCGTGCAATTTTGTCAATCAAAATCGGCGTTAATTGTGTGACGCGTTAATTAAACAAATTTCTGCGTGCGTATTGCTTTGGGCGTCATTGTAAAATGATGCTGTTAGTAAAGTGCCTTAGCCAGATGTGATGACTGATAAGCAGGTAAATCCTAACAGATTTCCGGCTTTGTCATTCACTTCTGCCAATGAGCATTAACAATTGGAATCTGGAAACTGGATTCCAATTAGCCACTGTCACGCTGTCACGGTTTTGTTTAAAATCTTGCGTGTGTAAGTAAATTGTGTTCGTTGTAACTTACTCTTCTGGCATTCTGCGGTGAATATCGATTGTTGCTTGTGCGATCTAGTGTTAAGTGTTTTAAGATTTTCAACTCGTTGGCCTTATTTGGATTTTTACAGTTTCGTCATTGTTTGAGAATTGAGGTAAGTTGTATTGTATCAATATATTTAGATAGTAACCTCTTTGTTGTTTTAAGTTAAATAGTTAATCAACGTTGCTTCAGGGTTCAACTTTGCGGCTTGCGCAGTTGCGCCTTTGTCAGTACTCGCTACTCGGTATTTTGTCACTGAAACACTAAGTGAATAGTGAATAAATTTAAAAGGCAAAAACCAAAGTCCAAAGATAGTACAAACTTACAAATGACTCTGAAATGAGTATCAAAGCTTAGTTAAATTAAACACTTGAAATTGTCTGTCATGCAACGCAATGTCATTGATTTATATGACTGTAGGCGTGAATGCATGCATCATAGAGATATCTATGCCATGGGCATTGGGCCATGGCGTCTTGTTGCCTTATTTGCCTCAATGTCTTATTACGAGTATGACTGATTGAAATACAGTAACATCTATTTACAACGTGATTATGATAAATGTTTATAAGATGAGTGCCTGTGTTGTATCCGATATACACTATAGTGTAGTGGAGTCTCACACTAATGGGTAATGGATTAAAAATGAAACAACTTAACAATAATAAAGGTTACAAAATTACCTTTGTTTGAAATTCATTCAATATACCCATACAAAAGCGACATGGCCTTGTGGCAGAAAAGCTCTCCATGAAACCTCCAATTCCATTACTTCCAAGTTTATCTGCCAAAACCAAGCTTATTGTACCCTCAATCCATTGAATACAATGCCCTATCTTCAGTTAACTCCATGGTTCTATTTAAAGACATTATGAATAAAACACAAATCAACCACATGCACAGAATGTAGTGGCTAAATTGAGGTGGGGAACACATGCAGTAAGGTTCCTGAGACTTACTGATTCTAGTAATCCCACATCTGCCATCAGTGGCTTCAGCACCTGTCGCATTCCATACTTTTTTATCCATTTCACTGGACATAATATAGCGAGGTTCAGCACTTTGAGAGATTTTCGGTACTTTGGGTGTAGATTCCCTAACACCCAGTAAAACTCACCTTAGAAAAAAAAAGTGGTTTAGGGTTATTCGTATACAGTAAATAAATAATCACAACACATATGCCTATCTCCAAGTTTATAGAAGGAAGAAAGACCAAACACCAAGGCAGGGTTAGTCACTGAGCATCTTGTCTATGGTAACTGTGTTTTGGGCAATCCCTTGAACACTCTGTCAAAGTTTTTAAAATCAACTTTATCACCTAGTCGAGCCTTTATCAGGATGGGCAAAGTATGCTTAGTCTGGTCTGCGATATAAAGGTTATGACATTTGTGGCTTGGCAATGTAAGTTTATTCCTCCTCATACAATATTAACATAGCTAATTGTTTGCTGTGCTCACATATGATAATTTAATGATATTCTCCTTCGAAACTAATATACTGTACTTAATTATATCTTACCAAGTTTGTGAACTGTAGCCTTTGCTCCTAAAGGATGATTGATAGAAAAAAATGGATGATGATCAGGACTAAACAGTTCTTTATCACAAAAGTCGTACATCTTCCCATCTGTGCTTCGGTGGGTATTTTGAACCTAGTTAAACAAATTGCAGCAAAGACAAATTATTAAACAATATTTTCTTGTTTTAATATGGAGCCTATTTTGGAATTACCCAAAACATGATAAGATATTTGACAATGAGATTTTACCTAACGGCTACAATATAATCAGGAAGGATAGACCAGGAAAGAAACGAGGAGGAGGTGTATTGATCGCGCTAAGAGAGAACATTCCATATAACATTGTATTACCGTCAAATGCTAAACGAAACTGGCATGATCTTCTAGAAATTGTTGCAATCGAAATCCAGTTGAACAAAAATAGTAAAAAAGCTCTTTTATGTGTCTGTTATCGATCTCAGAAGTATAAAACCGAATCTTGGTCTCAAATGTTTACTGAATTCTTACAAGACACCCAAAATTATGATCTGATTCTTATAACTGGTGATTTTAACTTCCCTGAACTGACTTGGAATTCCACTCTCGTAGCCTCAAGACCTGTTTCAGCTCACTCTGTGGAATTTCGTGAACTAACTTTAGACTTCTTTTTGGAACAAACTAACACTCATTCTACACGTGGAGATAATATCCTAGACCTTGTGTTTTCAAGAACCCCTGAAGCCATAAAAGACTTGACTTGTATTTGCCCAAAAACCATGAACATATCTAGTGATCACGGTTTATTGATGTTCGACTTCCACTTAACTATGAGTTCATTTGGCTGTAACAAAAGAACTGTTTTCGATTTCAAACGTGCTGATTGCAATGGTCTACAGAACAAGCTACGCTTTTCAAATTTGTCTCCAACAGATCACTCAAATTTAGACCTTGACGCTGATTGGGAGAAATGGAAAAACACCTTCCTTAGTGCAGCCGCTGACCATATTCCACGTAAGTCACTCAAGAAAAACAGTTCTCCTCCCTGGTTCGACGGTGAAATTAAACACCTTATTAATAAGAAGGATTTTTGCAGAAAAAGGGCAAAACAGTCGCTGAATCCAAGTGCATGGGAAAAGTTTCGAACTCTAAGGCGTCAAGTCAAATCATTGTTGCATGACAAGCGTAGAGAATTCTTTCAAAATCTGCCTGATCTCTTGAAAACAAGTAGCAAAAAATTTTGGTCCGTTTTTAAGTCAGTCTCCAAACATTCGAACATACCAAACAAAATTTCTTGGTCTAAAGATCCTACAACGCATATCGCTGCTGACAACCCTGCGGACATTGCAAATGTATTCAACCGTTATTTTTTCTCAGTCTTTAACACTGCCCAATGCCACGATTCACATCGTCACCTCGACCAAGAAAACTATAATACCATTGACACACTTCAGGATATCGTTATTACGCCTGAGGAAGTTTACGAATGTCTCTGCACACTAGATCAGAATAAAGCATCAGGACCTGACAGAATTCCAGCCACACTTTTGAGACACTGTGCTTCCAGTATCTGCTCGTCTCTTTCTGAGCTTTTCAATAAAACATTGTCTGTTGGTAAGTTGCCAAAAGAATGGAAACTGTCCAACATTACGCCAATCCCAAAGAGCGGGTCTTCTAGCAATGTTACCAATTACCGACCTATTTCGCTTCTATCACTTGTATCCAAGGTACTTGAGAGATGTATCTACAACAGGCTTATTGAGCACATTGGAGAAAAATTACATCATCTGCAGTTTGGTTTCTTGAAGGGCAAGTCAACTACTAGTCAACTCCTGCAGGTGTTACACGACATTGGAAACAAACTAGACAACAAGTGTCAAGTAGACACACTGTACTTGGACTTTGCCAAGGCATTTGACAAAGTAAACCATGAACTGCTGCTTTTCAAATTGAAACGTTTTGGCATCATCGGTAAACTCCTATCTTGGCTACGTGATTATCTTTCTGGTCGCTACCAGAGGGTAACGGTTCTCAGCGAGACCTCGAATCCATTACCTGTCCTATCTGGTGTGCCACAGGGTTCGATACTCGGACCACTACTTTTCATGGTTTATGTAAACGATCTTCCCGACTGTGTCTCAAGTTCTTCATCATTGGCAATGTTTGCGGATGACTCTAAATGTTACCATCCCATTAAATGTTCTGAGGACGCCGAAGTCTTGCAGTCTGACATAAATGCTATTGACTCTTGGTGCAAGGAGTGGCAGATGTCTTTAAATCACTCTAAATGTGGTCTTCTTCGCATTACAAGAAATTCTCAACCGATCCATTACTCTTACAACGTGGAAGGCAACTTACTTAAAACACTCAATAAACAAAAAGATCTTGGTGTTATAGTCTCTAAAGATCTTATATGGAGCCTCAACGTCCAAGCCGTCTCAAATAAGGCCAACAAAATGTTGGGGTTCGTGAAAAGATCGTGTTTTCATGCAAGTGACCCAAAAGTACGAAAGACCCTGTATTTAGCCCTAGTAAGAAGCCAGCTTGGTGACTGTAGCCAAGTGTGGGCACCCCAAACAACCCATGACATTCAAACCCTGGAACGAGTTCAGCGTCGCAGCACGAAGTTTATTTTATCTCTTCCATTTCAAACAGATATTTCATATCCTAAAAGACTTGCTAAACTCAACATTCTTCCAATTACCTACTGGCATGAATACCTGGATCTTGTTTATCTATTCAAATGTATTTATGAAAATTCCGACAAAAATGTAAAACTACATTCACCAAATCGTGTAACCAGACGCTCTAGTTCCACATCAGGACTCCTTCTTCAGATTACCAAATCAAAAACAGTAACCTTTCAAAACAGTTTTTATATCAGAGCATGCAGAACGTGGAACACTCTACCAATATCTTTAAGAAACTTAACTTTATTGTCTTCGTTTAAACGTTGTCTATTTAATTACTATTTTTTATTAACTTCTAATGTTTATAACCCAGAATTGCCGTACACATACAAGACTGTTTGTGTCAAATGTCACAAAGCCCGTCCTTTGGATTCACTCAGTGACACTTTGTGCTGCTAGTGCCCTTTCTTTATATTATGTGATGACTTTTTGTTGTTTTTTGTTGTGATGCACTATTTAGTGTTTAACTCTTTGTATGCAATATTTCTATGTATTTTACAACTCACGCGGGGAACCCGTTATTGGAGCTTCGGCTCTGTGGGTGCGCCCTTCCTGTTTTTGGGTAAATTAAATAAATAAATAAATAAATAAATAAATTTTTAAATTTGAATCCCGGAAATGGCATGTGCATCATTCTGACACACGCATAATCAGAAAACCCAAAATTCCAGGCGCCAGAGTATGCCTGTTCGCAGGTAATGCTGTGAATAATATAGTTAACAACAAAAATCATGACTAAAGACACCAAAAACGGATCAAAATTGGGAATCGACTCACATTCCTTCAATCCCATTCCCATTTTTGAGGATTTCATTTCCCAGTGGCCAAATCCCAGTCCCAGCAACCCAAATCCCATTTTCCCAGTCTAAAAATAGATCAATCCCAGTTCCCATTTTACCCCTTCAGGGCCATCTATAGTAAATGTGCATGTTTAAATGCGCTTTATTACCCTCTATTAAGTCGGTTTTCCACTAGCGGATTTTTCTGCTCGAAGCGACCTTTTTCCTTTGTCAGCATCCATTTTGCAGCCCTCGAAAAGTCAAACCGTCAAAATTGAGGTCGGCAAAAGAGGGCCTAAGTCGGCACATAAGTCTGACCTAAGTCGGCACATCTCGGCATTTCTTAAAATCTGTTCACGTCTTGAAGCACTATTAATCACGCATTTACGAATCATTGAAATCGGAATATAACTGGAACGTTACCTCCAGCCGGAAAATTCGAAAGTTGGAGCCAAATTTTAACTCCAGACGCGCGAAATTTGATCTTCAAACATCTAACGTATATACACAATACCCGTCAGTTTTTAAACCTTACACCGTAGTGTGTCCAGTTAATCGAATTCGCTGACATTTTAAAAGCTATCAGCATAAAAAATTCTTACTTTGGTTGAATTAAGGTGGGCAAAAATTTGCATTTAGCCCGGCATTGCCGAATGCCGACCTCGTTTTCGAGGACTGATTTTGCCACGTCTTGCTGACGTAATAAGTGATACCGACAAAGGAAAAAGGTCGCTTCGTGCGAGAAAATTCGCTAGTGGAAAACCGACTTTATTGCCTCTTTTATAGAACGGTATAATAAGCAACAACGAACAACAACAACAACAACAACAACAACAACAACAACAACAACAACAACAACAACAACAACAACAACAACAACAACAACAACAACAACAACAACAACAACAACAACAACAACAACAACAACAACAACAACAACAACAACAACAACAACAACAACCAAACACCAAACAAATTTAATTACCTAATTATGATTTCAATAATATTATGTTTTTGGACTAGCTGCCAGAAGTGAAGATACTGTATTCGAAAAAATTTGCATTGCTGCATGTGTGGTTTCTTTGATGCATGCTATTCGTGATATTCGGTTTGAATTCAATTATTCAGGAGGTCAATTTTGTTTTTTTCAGTGGTTATCTTTAGCCAATCCAGTTTTGCCGACTGAGATAACAATTTGCCGATTAGCTGACGAGTGGGGGGGGGGTGTTCCATCCCCCCTGTAGCGCCGCCCCTGATTTCAGTCTGCATGGCCATGGGCGTAGGAAGATCGGTATTTTGGGGGGCTCATATTCATATATTCATAAAGCAATCAATTTCAAAAGAAGTAATGATGCAGAACACGAATATATGAATATGAGCCCCCCCAAATATCGATCTTCCTACGCCCATGGCCATGCAGACTGAACTATCGAAATTTATTACGTATGCGAGCTGGCTTAACCCATAGCAAAGACAGATAAGTAGTTTACGTTTGGTATTGTATTCTATTCTATTCTACCTACTGGGGTTTCTTTCGCTTTAAGAGATTTCACTCCAGTTATAAAGTGAGGTCACCGGCGAAGGTAAAGTATTCCAATTTCCGAAAATCAATTCCGAAAGTAATTCAGGTGCAAAACGTTATATTAATGACTTGCAACCAATCTCCTCCTGGTACACACCAGACAATGTTCATCGATAAAATCACAAAATAGACATGGTATATCTATTATGTGATAAATATTCTTTTGTGCCATGCCACCTGACATGGCGGGTGACGTGCAAGTCAAGAATAGAGAAAATCAAAAATCAGTCCAGTCCAGTCCAATTGTCCAGTCCAGTCCAACAGTCCAGTCCAACTGTCCAGTCCAGTCCAGTCCAACTGTCCAGTCCAGTCCAGTCCAGTCCATGTTGTGTACTATGCCAATTCGGACTGGACTAGATTTCAAGTCCGCGCGAGGCGAAGCCGAGGTCTGGATCAAAATGCGCGGACTTGGAATCTAGTCCAGTCCGAATTACAGGATTTGAAATGACATCTCATGCGAATAAATCACTATTTAATGAATTTTGATCCAGTCCAAGGGCAAGGACTGTATTAATTTTGATCCAGTTCTAGGACTATATAGGATCATCATCAGGTGTCCATTATTATCATGTGAGCAAAATAAAGCAATATGGTTGGCTAATTTACTCATGAATTATTAATGATTTGAGATTCTATCTTTACCACCATATGGAAACCAGGCTTTATATTAAATCGCCACCCGATTGCACTATCGACGAACTGACGCATAGTTATAAAGTTATGAAAGTATACCTTATAACTAAGGTATAAGGTATAAAGGTATACTTTAAGGTTTACTTAATTATAAGGTATATAATTATATAAGTCACTGTATGCCTGGTACCATTTACCACCATGGCATTTTAACCTATCAATCTATTTATTATTAATCTATTTATTATTGAGAATAAATATAGATGTATCATTCAATGAGATGTATTAATACATCGTATCCATGATTTTGAAAAGCACGGCTTAAAATGGACGGGTATTCTGCACTCGCTCCGGAAGATATTGTTTTATTTGTTTTGTTATGTTTTATTTGTTTTAAATTAACAGCTTATTAGGAACAATAACATGTAGTTTCAGAAGGGGAAAGTAATGAACGGGTCGCAAGAACGGAACATGCAAGCTACCCCCATGCACATTTACAAAATAATTTACAAGAGGGCCCTGAAGGGGTAAAATGTGAACTGGGATTGATCTATTTTTAGACTGGGAAAATGGGATTTGGGTTGCTGCATGGTTGCTGGGACTGGGATTTGGCCACTGGAAAATCAAGTCCTCAAAAATGGGTAATGAGTATTTTAAAATACAATTTTGATCCGTTTTTGGTGTCTTTGCTCATGATTTTTGTTGTTAACTATATTATTCACAGCACTACCTGCAAACAGGCATACTCTGGCGCCCGGACTTCTGATTATGCGTGTCTCAGAATGCTGCAAATGCCATTTCCGGGTTTCAAATTTAAAAATTTTCCGTGCCTTCGGCACGAGCCCCTTTAATATTTCATAAAGTGTCCGCCACTTGCTTAAAAGGTCTTAAAACTGTTTATTCTACCGATAAATAAAGGGTTTGTTATTGATTGGAATTTCAATAACTGGGATTGGGATTTCTAATAAAAATCCAACTGGGACTGGGATTTTGCCAAAATTTCAGGTGGGAAATGGGATTGGGACCCCCCCCCCCCTTCAGGACCCTCTTTAAAGCACGAGTAGGAGTGTTTTATCAGATATAAAACGCGAGGCGCAGCCGAACGTTTTATATCTGATAAAACACGACTACAAGTGCTTTAAATGGCTTAAAAAACGACTCATCTTATATGAGTTCATTGGCGAAGTAATTTTTAAAATAAAGTTTGTCTAAACCGAGAAAATCAAAGCTAAAGTTTATGTAAATTAACATGATTTTTTATCACATATAAAGATACGATACGCTGAATTATTAATGAGTTTTTAAATAAAATTTACAACTCTTGAAAGTGCTTTTACACACTCCATATAGGTAGAACCTAAATACGGAAATTAATTTTTTTAAACCTGATTACACGTTTTGTGAAACGCTATAAAACGTGCAAACTGGATAATTTTTCATTTTACAAAATACTGGGCCCAACCAATCGCAGGATGTAAAAGCACCTTAACTCCTATATGGCTATATTAATACTACCCGATATAGAGTTCCACATCCTAACAATACAAAGAAAAGAGTAACAAAAAGAGTTACAAAAGCGAGAAAAGCAAGTGAGAATGAAAATATAACATAAAATATATTAGATGTCATCACCACACAAGATATGAATTAAGCCACAATGTGTCCTACACAATATTTTGAAATCACCAATTGCGCACGCAAGACACACTGGGAAACGCATCTGATAAGAGTACCCGCTGAATCTTTTGTTTAAGGGTGCGGGTCAACGATGCCTCCGACTATCAATGAGTAGTCCGACTTCGCCGATGGTGCCATCCGGGCGATTTAATATACCGGATTTCGCAATATATAGAGGATATTAGAGTGGTGAAAACAATATTTTACGAACGAGCATAGCGAGTGAGTAAAATATAGTTGTTTTTGACACGAGAAGATAAAAGTCGTCTTCAAGCCACCTTGTAATATTCTATTTATTATATAGTTTCAAGCAAAAAACTGTATAAATACTAAAAGTCACGTGATCGATATCTTCACTAGTGAAGACAAGGAAATATGTCACTGTGTATTTCTCAGTATCTCACTCTCTACTATATAATAAATTTCGCTAATGTGCGATTATTTTCGTTAATTCTATAATTTCACTGCAGTTTTAATTTAAATTCAGCCGTTTAGTTACACGTGAATAGTCCTTTCAATCAGGCTTTCAATGAAGTAATCTCGCTCTTACAACAATCAACTGTATGGACTGCATGTTAAGCCGGTTTTCCACTAAGCGGAATTTTGCGCGCGCAGCGGAATTTTTCTTTGTCTTGTGATTTCTCGGGTGGAACTAATTAGAAAAGACAAAGAAAGATTCCGCTCCGCGCGCAAAATTCCGCCTAGTGGAAAAGAGGCTTTAAGTTTTATCACACCAGAGTCATCCAATATTCAAATTTCAAGTTCCGTTTCATTTGTTGGTGTTTTGTCTAGCGACCTCCGCTAGTAACTTTTTAATATACACTTATAACCATATCAATTCTGGTTTAAAAAATTTATCAATAGAGCTGTAAGGAATCCTACACATAACAAAACAGATTGTATAAAATGTGTGGCATCATTGACATGCATTGTACAGAATGATGTACTGTATATCGCTTGCTATATTGCTAAATGGCATGGGTCTTTGTTGTAGAAAGCTTCTTCAGGGTCTTTGTTGTTGCGCCGTGCGGAAGTAAAGACCCTGGCTTGCGAGGTTGGAACTAGAATTGGCTCGCGGTTTGGAGGACTGGGGAGATAAGAGCCTGCAGTTGGAATCCCTGTTGGTCAGTGCTACGAGGGGCCAAAACTACTGGTACTTTATGTTACGTTCTTATAGGTAAATTGACATCCCAGGATGAACAGTCTCAGACGGAGCTAAATACCTAGAACTTTTCACCAGGGGGCAGTAGGGCCTATATGCCGAAAAAATCCCAAATACCCAAAGAATAATTAATGTCATTCTAAAAATCGTAAATATAGTTTTCCTTAGGGGGGGCAGTTGCCCCCCTGTGCACGGCCCTGATTTAGGGGAGTAAGGCCCCGCCTCCCTCCCCCTTTTAAAGCCCCCCTCCCCCCGTTTTGGCTACGCCACCGGGATGAAAACCGCCATTTTCCCCTTGATATTGTGATAAAATCCAGTGTTAATGAAATCACAGTAGAGTTGGGCGATACTTGGACATGTCGACATTAAATATCACTCGTGATTACTTGAGATTTATAGTGATGTCATAGTTTTCCACAAGGTTGAAAACATCATCCGTAAGCACGAGTTCTATTGTTATGGGTAATGGTATGAGTCATGAGTATCATCGAAATTATCGTTACAGTACTCAATAATTATAATTAAGGTCTATGACAATGACTATCGTGATATTCCTTCGAAAGCCGTAGAAATTCAATGGACAACTAAGGTTTATGAAATGAAGCAAGGTTTTCACATGTTCTGGTTGAATTGAAACTGCGTGGTCTTCCCAGACGACCTTTCTTATAAAAGTTTTACCAATATTGTATATTTATTGTGTTACTCTATTGCATATGTAGTTTAGTATGTTCACACAATATCACCAACAGTAAATAACATTACGCGATTTCTACCTAAACATCAATGGTGTGGCCGTTGACCACTGAGACCGGATTAAGTTCGATACATTTTTTCCCCCAAGAGGATTGGCTGAATGTAAACACGTGTTTTTTTATCTGAACTGTATTTGCATAAAATAACTTTGACTTGGCCTTAAAACTTGCATACAAGCAAGCCTTGCCTATCAAGTCACGGATCACGAGATAGAAGCTGCATTTTTTCAAATTTTTCGCATAGGTAAGTTGAAGTTGCATTGCATATCCTTGATACCAAAATCTATTTGAAAAAACAGAAACTTCTGTGAACTTCGATAATTTTTCTCGGAGTTGGTCATCAATTACCCATGAAAACGTTGGACCAGCACTTTCCACCAAACGTCGTTTCTTCGGCTTCGGTTCGAGTTGTTCCCGCCTGATCTGCGAATATCCGTGATATGCTAAACCATTTAGGAGATATGTGTTAAATCCAGGCATTCGCCTAGCGATCGTATGTTCCTGGACCATGTCCACCAGGAAGTCGATTGTCATGAACTCAAATCTTACAAGATCTAACAGATCACATATATAGCGCACTCTGAAGGACAAATTCGATTTAACCCATTTCATCAATGCAACAAATACTGTATTTTCAGATCGACTGCCTAAATTATCACTTCGCAAAAGAAGCCTCAGCGCGGCTTCTGAAAGTTCAGTAAATTTTTGCATAGTCCATGTTTCGTCAATCGGTGTAAATTCCTTGACAAGGAACTTCTCGAGCATCTCATATATATCGGCCTTGTCGGAAAGACGTTCCATTTCTTGGAGAATATATTCACACATTTCTAAAGTTAGTGTTGTAGACAACAGAACACATTTGCACTTCTTGATGACAAGACGAACATCATACTTGTTTGCAAGGACAAGAACTTGGACAAGAAGACGGTAGTCTTTGTCATTGAGAACATCAAGTTTGTACATCGCTCCAATTAAGGTTAGATGAGCCTGAAGTTCATCTTCGTAGATTTTCATTACTACCTCATTGGTATAAGTTTCTTTCATGCCTGAATAAAACAGTGCCTTGAAATAAGGACTTTGGACTGCTAGCCATTGGCTGTGAACGTACAACTTGCTCGCTATGGATTTATTTTCATGATCAGTCATTTCACCTGTTTTGCTTCCTTGGAGCTTTGCTGGGCATTGTAGCTTCTCTTCCTCCCCAACTACATTACTTTTCTCTCCATCTTCCTTCACTTTAGAGCTTTCGCAAGCTGCAATAGCATTTTCCGTCTCTTCCGTGTGTTTATTTTCATCTAATAAAATATTTAAAATAATTATGATTGTCATATCCGCTGATCTAAAACTGGCACTGGATAGCGCAAGATGCGATAATTCACGCACTTACGTGTCGTCTGGTAACTACGCAGAATTCTCGCTATCTGCGTACTTACTATTTGCTGGCACTACATGACATTGAAACATTATTGGGCTGATGGAACTAAGCAATGTTGTAAAATTTAGCAAAAAAAACTACAACTCCTTGGAATGACCCAACGTTTAGAACCGCTCACAAATTTTTTTCTTGAATACGTGTCGGTGACCATAATTTCGTCCCACTTTGCGGATTTAATTGGGTTAGCTCAGAATGTGCGACTATTAAATTATTGAAAAATGCCGTTCACGTTTTTATGGAAAACTTGACATTATAAATTTTGCAATAGCGTGTTTGGGCTCAGGAGGATTAGTATAACCCATCATCATAAAACATGACCCTTAATAATTATCATCATCACAAACTATCATCATCATCATAAAACATAAAAAAACCCACAAAAACAGTATTCTGCATCATATTTTAATATTTGATGTCGACATATTTGACTTAATAAGCCTGGAGAAGAGT